CCTCCTCCTCCTCCTCTTCCCCTCCTCCTCCCCTCTCCTCCTCCTCCCACTCCTCCCCTCCTCCCCCCCTCCCACCTCCACCTCCCCCTCCACCCCCCCCCTCCTCCTCCCTCCTCTCCTCCTCCTCCTCCTCCTCCTCCTCCTCCTCCTCCTCCTCCTCCTCCTCCTCCTCCTCCTCCTCCTCCACTGCGGGCGGCCGAGGCACCAGACACACCTCGCCGACGCCTCAATATCGGCACCGGGAGGGGACGAAAGGGGGGGAAGGGACCGAGGACGGAGGCAGGGGGAGAAAGGAGGGGAAGAAAGGAAAGGGGAGATGGGGGAGAGGAGTCCCGAGTATCCCAGACGTCTGCTCCTGGCTCGCCCCGCCTGGCCACATTCGCGCGCGACGTGGGCACCACGGGGGTGGAAGAGAGGTTTCGTCGTGGACGGGGGGATAAGTCCCACGTACACTGCAAGTCCGCTCCCAGCTTGACTCGCCTGACCAAGCTCGCGCGCGAGGCTGGGGCAGCAGGGGGAGAGGGGGAAGGGGGCGGCGCCGCAGAACTCGCGGCCCGCTGACCTCTTCGACGGCACGAGGCCCGTTATCGGCTACATGCAAGGATGACCCTAGGCAAGACGCCTAAAGGGGGTCCCTGGGGGACACCGCTGGGCGCGCAAGCCGATGCTATCGCATCGCATTCAGCGATCGGGAGGGCCACTGGGCCCGCACCAAAGGTCACTCCGGCGAAAGGTCTCTCTTCCGTGTAGCCGACGCTCGGGATCCACCCCCCCCAGTCATCGCCCCACTCTTGGCCGCTCCTGAGAAGCCCGTCACCGTGTCGCTCGACATCTTGCGCGGCACCAGGCAAGGCACGCGGCGGGCGCGCCCGAGCCACACCGAGAGCCTCGCCGATCACGAGGAGGGGGGAGGCGGAAGGCCTGTGGGGCCCGCACCAAAGGTCGCTCCAGCGAAAGGTCACTCTTGCGTTAAGTCGGGCCTGTCCCCCTACAGGGGGATTTTCGAGGAAAGATTGAACATTGGCAGAAACAATATTGACAAATGGTTTAAAAATATTCAAAAAATCGTCCCCAGACTATGCTTTGACTATTTTTGAATATTCCTCCTGTAGAGGGGCAGGCCCGACTTGTCTCTTGCGTGCGGCCGACGCTGCCATGCCGCTCGGCAGCCGGCGCGGCGCCGGGCAGGGCACGCGGCGAGCGCGCCAGAGCCACGCCGAGGGCCTCGCCAGTGCCTCGAGCGGAGGAGGGACGGGCGGGAGAGGCTGCCGCCTCTCCGAGACAGAGAGAGGGGCGTCCCCCGAAGCCGAGGAGAGCCGAGGCCGAGACCAAGCCAAGGCCTGGCTCGACGACGACGACGACGACGACGACGACGACGACGACGACGACGACGACGACGACGACGGGGTGGCAGTCGGGCCTGGCTGGGGCCCGGGCTGCTTGCCTCCTCCTGCCTGGTCCGCCTGGGGCTTCCCTGCCCCCAAACGCTCGGGCCCCCCCCTCTCGACGGGGAGGAGGAGGAGGCGGAGGAGGAGGAGGAGGAGGAGGAGAAGGAGGAGGAGGAGAAGGAGGAGGAGGAGGGTCGCTGCTGGAAGTGCCCCTGGCCCGAGGTGCCCCCAGGATTTCCGAGGAGGCCCCCGCGGCCTCCAGAGCACCCTTCACCAGGCCCAGGTGGGCCCACAGGGGCTCCAAGGTGGAGCGAACAGCTGGGGGCGCCTTGGGCCAGCGGTACCTGATTAGCAGCCCCCGAGAGGGGGCGGAACGGAGCGGCGCCGGGTGCCGGGCACAGAAGTGCCCAGTGCCCCTTCTGGGCAGGGCGCCGGGGGCCGTAGCCCTATGGAGCATGTGGACGTAGAGGCTGGCATGGTAGACACAAGGGGCAGGGGGCGAGCGAGGGGGGGAGGTGAGAAGGTAGAGGCCTCCTAGATGGGGTCGGAGTAGATGGGGTCGAAGGATCGCGCCGCATCGCCGATACATCGGCGATGCATCGGCGATGCACTGGCGATGCATCGTTGACGTGGGCGATGCATCGGCGACGTAGATGTGAAGCAAATCGGGCTCCACATCGAGCCGCATCGGCGATGCATCGGCAATGCGGCGCGATCCTCCGACCCCATCTGCTCCGACCCCATTTGGGAGGCCTAGACGAGGAGAAAGTCTTCTCGGAAGGCAGCGGGACTTCTCCGAGTCCCTTGCGCCTTCGGAGAGAACTGCTCAGAAGGCCAGGAGGCTTCCGAGTCTTCCGCTGGCGTGAGGAGGAGGAGGAGGAGGAGGAGGAGGAGGAGGAGGAGGAGGAGGAGGAGGAGGAGGGGGGGAGGGGGAGGAGGAGGAGGGGAGGAGGAGGAGGAGGAGGAGGAGGAGGAGGAGGAGGAGGAGGAGGAGGAGGAGGAGGAGGAGTTTCTGCCGGCCCTTCTCATTTCCCCCCCAGGCTCGCCGCCGAACGCGGAGGGGGCCGAGGGAGATAGGGGAGGCTGCTGCCTCCCGGGAGCGGTGCGTGCCCAGACCCAGCCTGGCAGCGGGCACCAAGAGGGGGCGGCGCGAGAGGGGAGCGGCCTGCCTCTTGCAAGAGGCCTCGGGGGCTTCTCAGAAGGCGGGGGGGGCCTCTCGGAAGCTCGCGCGGCTTCCGGGGAGCCTTCTCTTCGAAGCCCCCGAGGCCCTCTCTGGGGAGACACCTGCCTCCGTGGAAGCCCCCTGCCTTGCCAGAGGAACGCCCCCCCTCCACGCCACCCCCTCTTGAGGGGCAACGATGGGGGGGGCAGCTCAGGGGAAGAGGCATCGAGCTGGCATCAGCGGTACCTCGCCGATAGATCGGCGATAGGCCCGTCAGCGCATCCGCACGTTCCTGGGCGGGGTGGGGCTACAGGCCGGCGATGACTGGGCGGTTGGGGATCGATGTTCCGCCCCGCCTGAGCCTCTCCCCCCTGTTGTTGCTTCGGACCCTTGCGCGCGCCGCAGACCAGCCCCGACATGAGGCAGGGGGGGGCCGTGCGGGGAAGGGGGGGAGACCTCGCGCGCGCGCGGGGGCGCGCGCGCGCAGGGACGGGGCAGCGGGGGTGGCTGGAAGCTCCGCGGAAGACACTGGACTGAACCCTGCAACCGAGGAGAGGGAGGAGAAACCCGATCGAACGAGAACGTTGAGCGCAGGTGTTGCTCCTTGGGCTCGTAGAAGGCGGGTAGAGGTGAAGGGCAATGGCGACGACAAGGAAGAGGAACCTGATCGGACGAGAACGGGAAGCACCGATGTTGTCCATGAGGCTCGTGAGGATGATGGCGACGACCAGGCGGCGGATGGCGAGGACGACGGTGTGGATGACGGCGAGGGCAGCGATGCGAGGAGGAGGACAACGAGTAGAAAGACAAGCACGAGTTCGAGGAGGAAGAGATAGAGGAGGACGAGCACGAGGAGGAACGAAGCGGAGGAGGAGGAGGAAGAGGAGGAGGACGACGACGATGAAGGAGGACGGTAAGGAGCCCGAGGAAAAGGTCCTCGTCATTTTCTGAGGCTACCCTGGGGGCATCTGGGGCTATATTGGGGCATCCTGGGGGCATCCTGGGGGCCTCCTGGGGGCCTCCTGGGGGCCTGTCGGGGTTTTCTTGGGGGCTACTGGGGTCTTCTTGGGCTGTCTGGGCGTGTCTTAGGGTTCTGTGGAGGCTCTCTCAGGCCGTCTTGGCGCCATCTTTGGCTGTCTTGAACCTTCTGGGGGCCTCCTGGGGCTCTCCTGCGGGCCAATTGGGGCTCTCTTGGGGGTCCTCTTGGGGGCCCTTTGGGGCTCTTTCGGGCCTCAGTGGGCCCCTCGAAGAGCAGTTCTGAGACGATGTTGAGTCGGAGACCCTCCGAAGCCATTTGTTTGAGGATATCCCGAGCGAAACGGCCAATGGTTTCACAAGTCCGTCACCGTGCTCCTGGACGCGGTCCGCAACCCTGAGTTAGAGAAAGATAAACCATGATGGAAAATGAACAACAACAAAATCAAAATAAACCCACAAAAAAGAACGGTCCACACCAGAGGCGCTTCCCGTCATCCGCCGCTGTGCATTGAGGCGTGGAAGAATGCCAAGGTCTGTCTGGTCGGGATCATGTAACTGTCTACGGGCCCCCCCCCTCTCTGGCAGCACTTCGTCGCGCGCATCGCTCCTCGAGGCCCTAGTCCCCAACAAAACACGGCGGGTCGCGCTCCCGACGCCCAGGTGCCTCCAAGACGGCCCAATATCGCTCCAAGACGGGCCACGTAGGCCTCAAGACGGCCCATGATGGCTTCAAGATGTTCCACGAGGCCGTCGAGGCCGTCGAGGCGTCCTAAGGGAGCCCCATCGAGCCTTCCCAGGAAAGTCTCGAGAGACAAACACCATTGCTGTTCTTTAGATTGTTCTGTGTTTGTCGGGTTCTCGCCTCTTCGAGCTTCCGCCGTCCCAGGACGGCCCCAGAGGCCACCAGGACTGCCCTGAGACTGCCGAGGAGGCCCGCGAGAATGCCCCAAGGCGGCCCGGGAGGGCTCCGAGACGGCCCAGGAGGCGACCCCGAATGCTCACGAGGCCCCCAAGAGAGCTCCAACAGGGCCCGAGAGGCGCCCACGACTGCCCACGAGGGCCCCGAGACGGCCCCGAGAAGGGTGAGAGCACGAACCCGGACCACGAACCTCCTGCCCCGAGAGAGACCCCCCGCAGGCCCCCCCTGGCCTGCTCGAGCAGCCGCCACCCAGACTGCTGCGCCAGCACGGTGGCGGGATCGCCGGGGACAGCTGGAAACTTGAAGGAGGAGGAGGAGGAGGCGGAGGAGGAGGAGGAGGGACCAGAGGACAGGAGGAGGAGGAGGAGGAGGAGGAGGAGGAGGAGGGACCGGAGGATGAGTGGGAGGAGGAGGTGGGGGAAGAGGAGGTCTCCACCCCTCCCTCCGCCTCATCGTCCCCCTCCTCGCAGCTGCAATTGCAAACGGCAACCTGCACCTCGATGTTCACCCGCTACCGTTGAAAGGCGGCGTCGACGGCGGCGACGGCGGCGGCGAGGTCCTCGAAATCGCTGATCGACGTGATGGTGTCTGTCATCACTGTGGCCACGGACGACATGGCCTCGTCGAGCTCATCGCTCAGCGAGTCCGCAAGCGTGATGCCAACATTCGACCAGCCGCTGGTGGAGTCACCCAGGGTTTCCATCATCTCCGCTGTGCGCGAGGCAGGCTGCTATTTCTATGATACCTTCATCCTCCACCGCCTTCTCGTATTTCGCTTCTTGCACCTCGACACCGTCGTCGTTGCCCTCCTCCTCATACCTTGCTCAGCCATCTCGCTTCCCGTCTTCCTGTTCTCCCTCGTTCACCTCCACCGCTCCCCTTTCCATTATTCCTGCACCTCCACCTCCTCCACCGCCTCCTTCTCCTCCTTATCACCACCAGCATGATCGCATCATTGTATCACATCACAACCACCCCCACCACCATCCCATCATTCACATCATCATCATCATCATCATCATCATCATCATCATCATCATCATCATCATCATCATCATCATCATCATCATCATCATCATCATCACTTCATCATCATCATCATCAGCATCACCATCATCATCATCAACATCAACATCATCAGCAGCAGCATCATCATCATCAGCATCATAATCAGCAGCATCATCATCAACATCACCATCATCATCATCATGAGAATCAGCAGCAGCATCAGCATCAGCATCAGCAGCAGCAGCATCATCATCACCATCACCACCACCACCATCACCATCATCAACATCAACATCACCATCCCGTCATCATCATCATCATCATCAGCAGCAGCATCATCGTCATCACCACCATCATCATCAACATCATCGTTATCAGAATCATCATCATCCCGTCATCATCATCAGCAGCATCATCATCGTCGTCATCGTCATCGTCAACGTCATAGTCATCGTCATCATCAGCCTCGTTATCAGCAACATCAGCATCATCAGCAGCAGCATCATCACCATCACCATCATAATCATCATCATCACTAACATCATCGTCACCGCCACCGCCACCATCATCATCATCATCATCATCATCATCATCTACATCATATCATCATCACCACCATCATCATCATCCTCATCATCGTCATCATCATCGTCATCATCATTATCTTTCGCATCATCATCACCGTCATCATCATAATTATCATCATCATCATCATCATCATCATCATCATCATCATCATCATCATCATCATCATCATCATCATCATCCCCGCCACCATCTTCAGTATCAGCATCAGCGCCGTTTTTCGCTCTGCCTCCTAGGGGAAACACATTGACTGCGAGACTCGCGGTGCCGATGCATGTCTAATTACCTGGCCTTCTGCATCGGGCTCGATGCGTCTGAAATAATGTAGAGGAGGGACCATGGTGAGGCTGAGTTTGGCGGGGCCGTAGACGAACCGGGGGTGGTGAGACTGAGGTGAGAGCGACGGGAAGGGTAGCGACGAACACGACGGTGAGGCCAAAGACGTGGGAATAAAGGGGGGGAACGGGAAGTTTCTGACACCCCGCGGAGCGTGCAACCAGGAGCACAGACCGCTCGATGTCGGCCGACTCCGGGCCTCCGGCGGCGGCGTTTAGCCTGGACCGCCCGCGCTGGGGTCCCCGCCGCGTCGACACGATGTCACCCTGCCGCAAGGGCGGGGAAGGGTGAACACATGAAAAACGCCCCCAGCCCCCCACATGAGGAACTTTAGACCAATGGGACCGTCAAACGACGCGCGAGCTGAGAGCGGAAACTGCTCAACGGTCACAGTACCCCTAGGGTGCTGTGACCGAATGCAATTTCAGGGCGATTTTCGCCGTAACGCTCATCTCGTCCGCAATGCTGCATGTAGGCTCAGCCGCTATGCCACCACGGGCACTTCTGGGGTAGGCAGAGTCACCGAGAGCCACCAAAGACACGCCAGGCCCAGGCAGAGCGCTCGTACACATCAGCATCATCATCATCATCATCATCATCATCATCATCATCATCATCATCATCATCAGCAGCAGCAGCAGCAGCAGCAGCAGCATCAAAAACATCATTATCATCAGCATCATCATCAGCATCAGCATCATCATCATCATCATCATCATCATCATCATCAGCAGCAGCAGCAGCATCAAAAACATCATTATCATCAGCATCATCATCAGCATCAGCATCATCATCAGCATCATCATCATCAGCATCATCATCATCATCATCATCAGCAGCAGCAGCAGCATCAAAAACATCAGTATCATCAGCATCATCATCAGCATCAGCATCATCATCATCATCATCAGCAGCAGCAGCATCAAAAACATCATTATCATCAGCATCATCATCAGCATCAGCATCATCATCAGCATCATCATCATCATCATCATCATCGTCATCATCAGCAGCAGCAGCATCAAAAACATCATTATCATCAGCATCATCATCAGCATCAGCATCATCATCAGCATCATCATCATCATCAGCAGCAGCAGCAGCATCAAAAACATCATTATCATCAGCATCATCATCATCAGCATCATCATCAGCATCATCATCATCATCATCATACATCATCATCATCAGCAGCAGCACAGCAGCATCAAAAACATCATCATCAGCATCATCTCAGCGCATCATCATCACATCATCAGCAGCAGCGCAGCATCAAAAACATCATCATCATCATCAGCATCAGCATCATCATCAGCATCATCCATCAGCATCATCATCATCATCATCATCATCATCATCATCATCATCGGCATCATCATCTCAGCAGCAGCAGCATCAAAAACATCATTATCATCAGCATCATCATCAGCATCAGCATCATCATCAGCATCATCATCATCATCATCAGCAGCAGCAGCAGCATCAAAAACATCATTATCATCAGCATCATCATCAGCATCAGCATCATCATCATCAGCATCATCATCATCATCATCATCATCATCGTCATCATCATCATCATCATCATCATCATCATCATCATCATCATCATCATCATCGTCATCATCACCATCAACGGGGGGAGAGGGCGCGAGCACGCCCTCGGCGAGTGCGCCTGCAGGCCCGCAGGCGCCTGCGTGAACACGAGCCACGCCGGCCACGCGCACCCGGACCTGCCCCGCGGCACCAGATCAATGGAGCACCAAAACTCTGCATACACACAGTCGTTTGGAGTTCGAGTAAGCATTCTTTCTATTCGGCGTTTCGACATCGGGCGGAAGGGGGGCGGGGAGGGGGGGCGGTCTGGCTCCGGACCTCTGCTCAGTGCGACTGTTGGCAGCAGTGCGGCCTGTGGGGGAGGGGCTCGACCTGCTCGAGACAGGCGCCAAGAACAGCCAAGAGCTTCTCCATCATAAGGGGGTGCGAGGGCCCGCGCCGGTCGGCAGAAGAACAAATAAAAAAACGCCCACTATGGAGTTCAGCGCGGAGAACTAATTAAAAACATTATGTCTACCCACCGGTCGGAAGATGCAGGTAGAAGCATGAAGCAGGAAGGCGATGAAACTCGACTGGGCTTCCGCGCGCCCCCCTGAGGAGGACGGAAAGGGCGAAGCCACTCGATCATGGAGTAGGAAGGCGCTGAAAGGAGGTCGAACGACCGATGTAGGGAACGAACTCTATACACCGACGCTTTTTCTGGCCCCGCACTGAAACTCGCACAGAAAAGCAGATCTTGGTGTATACGGCATCCTGGTGTAGACATTTTTCGTCGCTTCCCTCGGAAAACGGGGGAAAAGTATACACCACACCAACCCGACGTCGTCCCCGACCCTCCAAAAGTCGTGGGATTGAAAAAACAAACCGCCACTGGTAATGTACATGTTCCAGTTTCCGACGACGGGTATGCCGATGTTTGTTCTTCCGGTGGCGCAACGGATCCACCTCGGGCAACCGCCGGGGAGAGGGCCTCCCAACTTCGGAGGAGGAGGAGCAGGAGGAGGAGGGGAGGGGGGAGTGGGAAGAAGGGAGAGGGAAGAAGAAGAAGAAGGAGAAGAAGAAGAAGCAGAAGAAGAAGAGGCGGAGGGGAAGGAGGAAGATGAGATGGAGGGAAGAGGAGGCAGGAGTAGGACTTGGAGGGGAAGGAGGAGGAGGAGGAGGAGGAGGAGGATGGCGCAAGGCTGAGCAGCAGCTGAGAGCGCTGAGGTCACGCTCACGCGCGCCCCATCTTCGCCGAGCGCGCGGAAGTGTGCGGGGCGGGTGGGTTGGAGCTGCTGCCGGGCCTTCTCTGCCGAGGGGTCGGCCTTCATGGCGGCATGGGCGAGACCGTTGGGAGAGAGGGCGAGCACAGGGGCGGCACGAGAAGAGAAAACTGCACAAACGTAAAATGTCAGAGGTCCGCGCGGAGCTCATGGATCGGCCCTGACCCCCTCCCTTGCGCGCGGAGCGCGCCGGGGGCGGCGCTGGAGGCACTGCCATGGGGGCATCCAGTGCAGATCCAAGAAGGCCGCGCAGGCCTTCGAACGCTCATACGTTTATGGCGTCTTTTTCTTCCGCGAGGCGAAGGAGTGCGGCGGCGAGGAGTATGAGGGGGTAGAGGCAAGAGAAGCGGTGGAGGGAAGCGGCAGAGCTCCTGTGCAGATGTTCCCATAGAGGACGAGGGTCTGCGCCGCGATGGCGGCCGCGACCAGGCAGCACAGGCAGTAGGGTGTCTGCTGTGTGCCGTACTCTGCCCTCGCCATTGCTTTCGGAGGTGGCGGCGGGCAGTGGTCCGCTGTTGGCAGCATCGGGTGCGCCGAAGAGGTGGGCCAGGAAGAGGGGTGTAAACGCAGCATGGCCCGAGGCATGTGCGCGGGCAGGAGGGGGCCACGGGACGTTCTGAAAGAAGAGGAGGGGCCCTGACCTTCAGGGCCCCTGGCCATGATACCCACACACTTCCCAGTTCTCACCCCCCTCGTGGGCGCCCCCGACAACAGTGGAGCAGACCTAAAAAATGGATGGGATACCAACTGGCAAGGATCCCAGGGGCCGCGCCACGCTCCCTCCTGAGCCTGACGGCTGCGAGCAGAGAGCGCTCTCGGGAAAGCTCCTCTGAATACGAACCCAGCTGCCATGCACGAAGACGCGCCTGACAAGAAAGACACGCCCACGGTTGAGCTGTAGTCTTAGGTCGGGCATGTCCCCCTACATCCGAATTTTGGACGAAAAATAAAAAATAGTCAAACAATGCTCCAAGCATGATCAAAAATAGTCGAAAAGCCGTCCCCAGACGATCTTTTACTATTTTTGAATTTTCCTCCTGTAGAAGGACATGCACGACTTAACGGCAGTCGAGGAGCCTGGCCGACCAGGGCCAGGCACCCCCCCCCGGCCGCTGCAGCGTGCGAGCACCGCAGGCGGGATCCTGGGACCAGCGAACAAACCGCAGCGCCACGTTTGAGCGGCAGTCGAGGAGCCTGGCCGACCAGGGCAAGACACCCCCCCCCCCGCGCCACTGCAGCATGCGAGCACCGCAGGCTGGATCCGGGGACCGACGAGCAAACCTTAGGTCGGGCATGTCCCCCTACAGGCGGCTTATGGGCAAAACTTAGAATTAACCCAAAAAATACCCAAACAACAAAAAGATGCCCAAAGTGCTAAAATCGTCCCCAGACTATTTTTGACTAGTTTTGAATATTCCTCCTGTAAAGGGACAGGCCCGACTTGAAACAAACCTCATCATGACCACTGCTCTGAGGACCCCTCCTGGCACGCGTTCTGGTCACGATTCCGTGCCGAGTCCAGCCACGGCGACGAGGGGCTGCTGAGGTGTGCGGCGCGGAGGGCGAACCTGCCAGGCACCTGTGCGGATCGGAGGCGAAGTGCGAGTCGGAGGCGCACCGCGCGCGCGGAGGAGGGGCACCCTGACCAGACCAGGGACGGCGGGGCGACCCAGGCTTGGCCAGGCCCCCTCCTCAAGGGGAGAACCTCTGACGCGGGACGGGCGGGAACGGGGGGAGGCGACTCGTTCGGGGCACGATCAAGCGCTGGAGGCAACGGGGCTCCTGAGGACGCTTTCGGCACGCGAGGAAAAGCTGATCCATCCTCCTGCTGTCCATTGTGGGTTCAAGTCTCTCCCACGTGTCCCAGAAAAATCGTTGGGTCGCTTCAGAAGGCTCGCTAGACGACTGTAATCTTCATCTCGACAGACGCGATAATTCAGAACGGGCGTCTTGGAACTCTCTGGCTACGCCGAGGGTTGAGAACGAAAGGAATTCATCGGTCCACCCTCTTCGCCGCACTAACGGCCCAATGACCGCCCCAACACACCATGTGCCCTCGGGGCTGTGAATTCCGCCAGCCGAAAGCTTGGCGATGCTCGGCCTCTGCAGAGAGGTCGTGCAGCGAGATGACAGCTCCTTTCTTTTCCGGGTAGCGGTCGTTACCCGGGAGGGGGGGGCGGGCGGGAGGGTACCGGTAACGGCGGCCGCGGCGTGCCCCCGCCAGAGTGCGTCCGCGCCACCGGCGCATCAATCGCCTGTGTGCACCACAGCATGTAGGGGGGGGTCCAGGCCACCCCCCCGTACGATCGTAGCGCTACGAGGGGGGGTAGGGGGGGAAGAGGGTTGCCTTTAGCCCGGGTAACGAGCGTTACCCTGGAGAGGAAAAACAAACGCTCACGAGGCAGACTTTTACAATCCGATTGTTTTGCTCTGCTCCCGTCGTTCAGAATAGTGCTCTCGCCCCAGCGTGGGCCACTTTTCTGAATCCGATTCTTCATCGTAGTCGCCCCCTCCTTCCCCCTCCTCCGCCTTCCCCTGGTCCCTGGTCCTTCTGCTCATCTCGCTCCTTCCACTCCAATTCCCGATGATGCTGTTCGTCCTCGTCCTCCTCCTCCTCCTCCTCCTCCTCCTCCTCCTCCTCCTCCTCCTCCTCCTCCTCCTCCTTCCTCATCCTCTCTCTCTTTTCCTCCTGGTCGGCTCCTTCGCCTTCCCCTGGTCCTCCTGCTCCTCCTGTTCCGTTCCGTTCACGCAAGTTCCTGCTGCTGCTGTTCGTCCTCGTCCTGGTCCCTCGTCCTCCGCTGTTTCCTCCTGCTCATCCTCCTGATCACCCGCCAACTCCTCCTCCTCC